GGAAGGAAGGAAGGAAAGGAAGAGAAGGAAGGAAGGAAGGAAGGAAAGGAAGGAAGGAAAGGAAGAGAAGGAAGGAAGGAAAGGAAGAGAAGGAAGGAAGGAAGGAAGGAAAGGAAGAGAAGGAAGGAAGGAAGGAAGGAAGGAAAGGAAGGAAGGAAGGAAAGGAAGAGAAGGAAGGAAGGAAGGAAGGAAAGGAAGAGAAGGAAGGAAGGAAGGAAGGAAGGAAGGAAAGGAAGAGAAAAAAGGAAGGAAGGAAGGAAGGAAGGAAAGGAAGAGAAGGAAGGAAGGAAGGAAGGAAGGAAGGAAGGAAGGAAAGGAAGAGAAGGAAGGAAGGAAAGGAAGAGAAGGAAGGAAGGAAGGAAATGAAGGAAGGATTCCTAGCTCATTTACTGAATTAATTCATTCACACCGAAGTTAATGCTACTCCAAGTCAGCAAATATACTTGGTAGGTCTTTTATCTGACCCAGTTTGTGGTGTTGTGTGAAAACAAGGCACACCAAGTGGCACTTAATCAGAAACAGCAGCAACATGTTCTATTTCTTGTAAGATGCAAGTGATTCAAGCAAACTAATTGGAAAGCAAAAGGTTGTCTGTGAAATCCCAAACGACATTTGCATCCATCCATATCGTCTGCCGATATGCAAATGACACATTTGCCTGATTGTCGAAATGATGCCGTTACTCAGAATATGCAGATCATCACCACGAATAACATACAATTAAGGTTAAAAAAAAATTAACAAGTTGAACGGCTCGATCCAGACATTCGACGCAGTGGATTAAACTGTTCTTTTAGGGAGATGCTTGAACAGAAAAATGAGGGACAAGTGTTAATACTGGGCTAAACCACATGGCCTTATTTAGCTGGTTTAAAGAGAAATCACAAAAATTCATTGCAGAGAAAAAATTGGGCATAAATACTCTCACACCACAGCCTAACAAAACCTCCAGATTCAGGCGAAGTCTACCTGCCAACGCTGGCAATGGAATGAGAGCCATAGGAAAGGGGGTTTGTGTTAAGCATTCCATTTACAGCTTTGCTTTCCCTGGCTGCATTGAGATTAAATTAGAAAACAATTCCATCAACATTTTGTTATTATTTTAATTCTGGCTCCTCGTGCATTTTTAAAGTGACAGCAGCTTATGAATTATTTCTGCTTGATTGCTTTGTCATGCTATTTTAATTGTGTTTTAAATCAAACTCCAGCCTTGTCATCTGCTGGGTATGTGCCTTGTTGTGGAACAGCAAGATATAAATTGTCCAAGTAAACAAGCACAGATGCCTCTGGATCTCAGGCAGGAGAAACAGGGGTGGCTCTGATCCAAGTTTTCACCCGGGGTCGGATTCCAGTGCCCATCACCCTGGGGAATAATCTGTCGGGTTGATGAGGATGATGGCTGGGATCTACTTCCTTTAGAACAGTGGTTCTCAACCTTTTTAATGCTGCGACCCCAACCGGTTGTAAGTCGAGGACTAAACCGGTCGTAAGTCGAGGACTAAACCGGTCGTAAGTTGAGGACTTTCCCTGCCCGGGAGCGCCGCGCATGCCTGGTTCCGCCCCCTGCGCCGGCCGAGGCGTAGCTGGCAAGCGGCAGAGACGGAGCAGGCCGACCACCAGCTGGCCCAGCCCAAGGGAGGTAAGGCACCCGCCGGATAAAGGGGGAAAAAAATGGCGGACAGCCTTGCTTGGCGACCCCCGTGAAATGGTCGATCGACCCCAAATGGGGTCGCGACCCATAGGTTGAGAACCGCTGCTTTAGAAGGCACGGGGTTAGGGATGGGCAGAGTCTGAATGGAAGAGACGGGATGGGATCCAGTTCTAGGCACCATGAAAAAATTCCTTCTCACCACTTGGAACAAGCAACAGACGGGAAACTCAGCAGGAGAAACTTGGGTGGATTCGATTTTGAGATTTTGAGAGTGGGATACGCTCACCCTCTCCAAAAACCTGAAAAGGTACCAATAAGGGAGAATACTCCTAGCTCAGGGATCCCTGGTGCTCTCTATTATTATTTCTTCCAGACGTTTCCAGATGTTACCTAGTTTGGGTAGTGAAATGTCTGCAAGAAAACCACCAGGCTCAGAGAGCCCCAAGGACCCCCTCACCTGAAAAGGTGTCCCCCCAGAAGGGGAGCAACCTGTGTCTCCCAGAGAGCAAGATATGGAAGAATGACCCTAATCATGGGGATGTAAGGACGGAAGAGCAGTTGGATGATGGTCTGGAGGAGTGGTGGAGATGTTCAAGAAGAAGAGAGAAGCAACCTAGAACTAAGGAGAAACTTCCTGACAGTTAGAACAATTAACCAGTGGAACAACCTGCCTCCAGAAGTGGTGAATGCGCCAACACTGGAAGTCTTTAAGAAGAGACTGGACAGCCATTTGTCCGAAATGGTATAGGGTTTCCTGCCTGAGCAGGGGGTTGGACTAGATGACCTCCGAGGTACCTTCCAACTTTATCATTATTATTATTATTATTATTATTACATTCTTCAGGGCTTGGCCGGCTTATAAGAAAATTTAGGAAAAGTGCCTCTAGTTTGGTTTGTAATTGTTTGTTTTTAATTTTTTGTGGGTTTGTGTGTGTTTTGGATTTGCATCCTGCCATGAATCTATGGGAGCTGCCAGCTATTATACATTTCAAATAGTAATAATAATATCAGCAGTGATAGGTTCCTAGGGTGCAATCCCAAGAGAACTGGAGCTCCACTTTCGGCATTGACCATCAGTCAATTGCAAAAGGCAGCTTTACTCGGAACTGCTTACATCCTGGGATGACACCTCTAACACCATCAAACATCCACATCTGCCTATCCCAGGTCTTTGGGAAGGGCTCGATAAATGGATAAAAATGCCAGATCCAGTCTGAACATCTAACTGACTGTACGATGAACAACAACAACAACAACAACAATAATAATAATAATAATAATAATAATAATAATAATTCCAGAATGATGGACAGCCATCTCTTGGGGAGGCTTTGAAGTGTGATACTGCCCTGGGTGGAGGATTGCTCTCCAAAGATTTCACAGGCTGGAAGAGGTTCAGAAAAAAAAATAATCAATCAAGACAGCCAGAGAGCTAGAAAACAAGTTCTTATGAAGAGAGCTGGACGCACTCACACTGCAGAAGATGGAAGGGAATATGGTGGCATCTTCAAATACCTAAAAAGTTGGCCCCCTTCTCTGGTTCCAAAGAGCAAGACCCCCAGAACAATGTATTTAAATTGCAGCAGGAGGAGATAAGTTCCAACTAATTTTTGGGGGGGGAGGAGAGAACCTCCTAAAAGTAAGGGAAGCGGGGCACTGGCCAGGGAGGGTGTCTTCCCTTCACTGGAGGGGATCAAGCAGAAGCGGAACAGACATCTGGAGAGAATTTGATTTGGATCCCTGCACTGAGTACGTCTTGTCC